GAGTGGGTAACAGTAGAGAAGCTGCAGAGATGTGTGTTAAACTACAACTCTGCTTCCTGGTCTGCACCCTGGACTGAAGTAGCATTACATAAAATGGCAAAGTGTAAATCTCCAGTCCTAGACGGGTCAACTATGAAACAAGGTTTGATAACTCTGATCCTCAAAGGCAACAAATACCCTTTATTACTAGACAACTGGAGACCCATCACTTTTTTATGTACAGATTGTTATGGTTCCAGATTAAAGGGGTTGTTCTTTGTTCTTTTTCAGTGCCTCTGTGCATCCACCAGATGGTGCCATTGTTCCTCTGTTGGCCTGGAGAGCCTCTTCCTGCTCTCAACTACTCACACCTGCAGCTCGTTGGTCATTACAGTCTGAGGAGTGTAAGAGCGGCAGACTGTCACCATCTCCTCGCCAGAGTGTTTGCCAGTATTGGGTACTCTAGCCCCTCTGAGTTTGCTGAGTCTAACTTTGAGCTCCTTTTCTGAGACCTCTAGTCCTAATCTTGTTTCTTTGTGAATCTCCGGAAGGGTTTTTACAGATCCACTGGATAAGCCTGGTCCTTCAAGCCTTGGAAGGGACCCTCTCGTCCCTCTGAGAAAAGGAAACAAATTCACCTTATCAGAACGCCGTCCACATGAGGAAAACTGGTGACAGTCTGCTCCGCTGCTCCTCAGGGCCACCGCAGTCTGCTTGTCTAACCTCCAGCAAAGTAATCTCCATATTGGTGCAAAGCTCCACAAACAGGAACTCCCCAAGCTCCAATAGTTAGTCCTGGTAAAGCTTTAATTCTGACGTCGGCCAGTTTTCCAACCGAACTTGAACTCACCACTTTGATCTCTTCCGATCGCTGGAACCTCCCCAAGCTGGAAAACAGTTTTCAGTGTCTTTGTAACTGTTTTTACTGATAAACTGTTAAACCTTTATCTATCTCTGTGAGTGCTTCTGCATGTGGACCAAACACATTAGACCCATCATGACACAGATTACAAAATTTTAGCTCTATTTTATGCCAGTCGCTTAAATAGTGGATTAGGATTGATTATTAATGAATGCCAGTCAGTTTATTTAAAGGGAAGAAATATCCATCATCATTCTAGACAGATTTTTTATATGATTGATTATTGTTATTTAATGATCCGGACAGTTTTATTTTATTCCTGGATTTCTTTAAGGCCTTTGACTCAACATTGCTTTATAATTAAAACCTTAAAAGATTTTGGCTTTGGGGAAAAATTTTGTAATATAATTAAATTATTCTACAGTGATTAAAGTAGTTCAGTTTCCTTGGGAATGAGTATGACACCAAGTTTTTTCTATGTCAAGAGAAATATGGCAGAGCTGCCCAATTTCACCTAAATCATTTATACTAACAACTCAATGCTTACATTACTAATCATGAAAAATTCAAATTTACATGGTATTAACATTTTTGATAGGGAATTCAAAATATGTCAATTTGCTGATGACACAACAATTTTTCAAAGTGATAAAACAATGGTAGAAATTGCGCTTAAATCTATTTTAAAGTTTTCCAGAGCGTCTGGACTGTCTGTCAATATTGAAAAATGTAAACCTTTCCATTCCAGCTCTGACTCGTCTGTTGCCTCTATTACAGTTAAGTCCAAAGTTAAATATCTGGGAATATTGATTTCAAAAAACGTTATTAGAAGAGAGGGAGAAAATGTTGGTAGTTGTTTGATTGGCATGAAGAGATCCTTAAGTCATTGGTTAACTAGAGACCTGTCCATTTTTGGACGAACTCTTTCGTCCACAGCTGAAGAGTTTCTAAATTAATTCATCTATGCCATTCTGCTTTTATTTCTGACAAAAATATCAGGAAAGCTAATTCAATAATCTTTCAATTTATCTGGAGGAATAGAACTCACCATCTACATCGATCACATCTTGTTAAAGATTAGGATAAGGGTGGTAGTAGAGCCTTAGATTTTGAGACTCTGATTGGTTTAGGATAAATTGTCTAAAGATCTTTTTGTCTCATTCCAATTCAATCTGGTTTCATATCCCTAAATCTATATTTAAGACACTTGGTGGCTTGGATTTCTTGCTTAAATGTGCTTTTGAATTAAGCAAGATTAACATTTCACTGTCTAATTTTCATAAATACGTTTTACAATTTTGGAAGATGATATTTACTCATAATTTCAAACCTTATGGATCTGTAGTGTGGAATAACAGAGCAATATTGATAAATAGAAAATCTATTTTTAAAACTGAATTGTATGAAAGAGGTATTTTATTTAAAACTTTAATGGACAGTCACGGTGTTTTCCTAAATCATAGAGAGTTTACTAATACATTTAATCTATGCTGTACTTGTAATGAATACCTAAAAGTATGCAAAGCTATTCCTGAAGTCTGATAATCTCATTCAACACACCTTAAAATATTCAAATGTTTCTCCATCTTTACCCAAATTGAAAATTGGAGAATATTTTGTGACTGATCAAAAATGTAATAATGCTTTACTTGTGACTCCCTTTAAATCTAAATTATTACTAACCCTATTTAAAAAAATAAATAAATAAATCTAAATTATTCAATGATTACTATTTTTTTTACAACTAATTTGCTTATTTGAGAAGGCATTCTCTAAGTTTGTTAAATGGCCGGTTTCACCAAAGGTTAAAGAGACTCAATATTTACACAGCGGCAGAAGTTTTGTAGAAAAGATTTAAATGTGATTTAACATGCTGTGCCTTTTGTGAATTTCTGGATGAATCCCTTAATCATCTTTTTTTTTTCCTGTCCCTTTTCTCTTAAACTATGGAGAGACATCAAAAATTGGTTGTCCCTTAAAAGTGAGGACATCCAAGAAATAACAATCAAACGGGTGTTGTATTATGTTGATGACCTTGATGGTAAAATTTCAGATATGGTTAAGATTGTTTTTTTGCTTGTCAAATATCATAAACATTGCTGTAAATGAAGAGGTTCTACTCCTTGTTTTGAATTTATTTTCTTAATTAATTTAAATCGTATTACACTTCATTGAAAATTTTGAAATCTGCTTCTGCCAAAAACTGCCAGTATTTTTACTTTTCTTTTGTTTTAAATCGTGCTCTACATTTATTCATCGGCCTTATTGTTTATGTGTCTGTTCTTGCTTTTAGCCCCATATTTCTGTCTATTCTTTTCTCTACCGATGTTGTAATGTTTGTACCTCAAC